GTTCGGATTTAGGAACCCGAGGCTAGTTTTCGCGAGGATCGGGCGCAACAGATAAAATCGGTGTAAACAAACGGAAGATGAAACCGCGGGCGTGAGCCATTGAGCGTGGCCGAGCAAAGCGGAGCGCGTGTCGGCATTAGTGTTTACATCCTCCTCGGATTTTATGCCCGACGCCGGCGCGGCGCGGCCGGCGTCGGTGCCGTGTTGCAGATTGCTATGGATCGATTCATCTACCATTAAAACCTATGGAAAAGAATCGATTATCGGGGTGTTGGTAATGAACACTTTTAACGATAGCTTGAAATGGGAAAATATCAATAGTCGATGATTCACGCTTTCCTTACCGAGATTTGCGATGGATCGATTCGTCTACTATTGAAATCCATGGAAAAGAATCGATTATCGGGGTTTTTGCAATGAACATTCTTAACCATAGCTTTAAACGGGAAATTAGCGCTGGCCAATGATTCACGCATCATTAATAAGTGCCGAGATTAGCGATGGATCGATTCATTTACCATTAAAACCTATGGAAAAAGAATCGATTATCGGGGTTTTTGCGCATTCACGCTTCGCAAATACGTGCCGATATCTGCGATTGACCGATTGATAAGCTATTTAAAATTATGGAAAACAATCGATTATCATGGTGTTCGCAGCAAATACTTTGATAATAGATTCTTTACCATAGCTTTAAATTGAAGAGTATCGATAGTTGATGATCCACGTCTCGCCACTGACCTCTATTTCCAATCGCTGGTGGCCGGGACCCCAACAGACTCTTAAGCCCATTTCACACGCCCTGACCATGTAATGGCAGCTTCGTTAATGGCCGGTGCTTCCACCAATGGCAAATAGGAGGGCCTCTCAAGGTATCAGTGCCACCGTTTTTGGCTCGTGTTAAAACGCCACTTTCGCACACTCTCTTCGGACTGTATGGTCGTTTTTTCAGTCTTTTTTCGTGGTTCCGACGATCCGAGTTTTTCGATAGCCGATGTCCAGCGCGGCCCTCGTCACAAGTGGTCGGATAATAATCGGGGCATAACTGAATTTTGCTTTAAGGATTTTTCCTGCTTACATTTCTGGATGTTTTATCAAGCTTTGCTTCGTAGAGAGATAATATAGACAGGCCATTGAAAACCCCGTAAAATCGGAACGAATGGTCACAAAAATTTTAAATTGACGGTCTCCTGCTAGAATTTTTGTAGCGAGTGAGTATACCGAGTTTCATTCAAATCTCAGGGGGTCAGGTCAACAAATCCTCTAGAGGTGTCGTCAGCTAAGTTGACGGTTGTTTACTTTCGGTTTGCAGGCGTTTTCGCGTCACTACTATCCACATGAAAACATCTGACTCTCTCAGAAGCAAGAACACCATCTTAGATACATTTTTTAATCCTTTCAAACCTTGTAACACTTATTTAATTTTTAGCCACACAGAAATCACAACCACAAAAAAGTCGCAAATCATAACTGATAAGTAGTTTTCTTACAACACTATCATGAGACTGACTTTTCAAGCTGGATAGTAGCAAATGTCGCTTGGTTCAGAGGCCCAAATTCGTCGTTGGCGCTTACAAGCCGTAAGTAAACAACCGTCACCTTAGCTGAAGACCCTCTATTTTTGCCTGATCTGGCGTGGAATGACCCGACGAAAGTAACAAGAATTTAAGTCCTGGCCGGTGACCTGACCAATTGTGAGCATTTTCCGGCGTTGCGGTGGTGGCTTTGTCGCCTCGGTGGAATTTCTTATCAACTACTGGATGACTGCAGGGGCATGGCATGGCGCTTATCTGCTTGGCGCGGAGGAGGCGCAGACAGAGAGACTGAGAGGGGCCAGCTGCGCGCCGGTCGCGTCGCGCGGTGTCACCGGGATGAATAATTAAGCCGCGCGCCGCGCGTTCCCTCCTCCCGGTCTCAGGTTCGGGATCGCGCGAAAATCCACGAAAATTTGGGTCGCAACCACAACAAACCTCGAGTTTCGCGACCCCGCTCCGGCTCGGCAGTAGCAGTCCCATCACACTTCAAACGCCCCGAGAACAATGCCACCGGAGTTGTCGCTCTCCTCCGAATTCACCCATTTCCCGCCTCGGCACAGTGGAACGAGACAATAGGCGAGGCCGAACAAAATTTGGAAACTTCAAAAGCTTAAAACTCCATTCATACAAAACGTTGAGGTTTTGAAAGTGATTCCATCGGTTTCCTCGTGACATTCCCTTAAAAGACACCCCTTAAAATTTGAAATTTGACGAAATTAACTTCAGAACTTGCAGTTTTAGCTAATAATTTCATGTGCGACTTCTCTGATTGACTCGATCCAGTGTGCTCCGTCCATGAATTTCCGCCCAATGGAGCTCTTGCATGCTACATGGATTTGCAATTTAAGATGGTAAAATTAAATTCTACATGTCATGCTTGGATACCGAATTTTCTTGCGATTTCCAGGGCCGGCAAAGTTGTAATACATTTAAATAATGCATTCCTTGGAAAAATGACACTGTCGCGGTTAAAATCGGTGGTGGTTTACGTCATCGGTACAAAAGGCAACGCTGCAGTTAAGTTACGGTGTAACAGGAACAAGTGAAGTGCCCTTCACTGATGTTGAATGCGACGAACAATATACAAATTTCACACTAACTCCTGGATACAACTATTCGGGCTCCTTAGGTGTCCGTGTTGCATACGCACGGGAGTGAAGGCGTTTTGACTTCAGACAGTAACCGCCTCACCAGTGACGCTTAGTAGAGTTAAACATGCCGGCATACGCCTGAATGCAACTATTCGCGCCTAAGAGATATCTTTCTAATACAGACGAAGAATGGAGATGTTGCATGTTATCATGTAAAAGTTCGTGAGAAACACGATGGTGCCACTGGTTTTCTATGAGATCAGCTCCCAAGCTCAAAAAAAGCTCTCAAAATGAGGCCAAAATGTAGGGGATAACCCACGCTATCCTGAGAGTCCACCTCTACATCAAAACAAACTCTCCATGCAAAGATAGGGAGCAAATACATTGAAAGGGCTGCCACTTCATTTGGGGACTCCAAAACTGAAAACACGGCAACCCTGCTCATGTATGTGCTCCCTACCTTCGCATGAAGAGCTTGTCTTGATGTAGACGTGGACTCTCAGGATATCGTGGGATATCCCCTCCATTTTGACCTCAACTTAAGAGCTTGGGAGTTAATTTCAGAGAAAACCAGTGGCACCATTGTGTTTTTCGCGAACTTTTACGGAAGAATCAATAGCCAAATCGGAAATTCCTCACACATGCAACATTTCCATTAAAAGCGCACTGCCATTTTGGATCCTCACAGCGGACCGCCGTTGGCGTTGCGCCGCGGTTTTAATGGTGAGCGCCTGGACAGTCAAAACGCCTTCCTTTCGATGCATATGCAACACGGACATCTAAGAAGCCCGAATAGTTGCACCCAGGAGTTAAAATGAAATTTTTAGGGTGTTCGCAGCATTCGATACTAGCCAAGGCCGCTTCACCTGTTTCGCTTACACCGTAGCTTAATTTCAGCGTTGCCTATAGTACCGATGACGTAAACTATTAGTAATTTTTATCTCCTAGGAATGAAGGAAAACTGGACAATTGCGACACTGGGTTGAAATCGTGCCTATTTACTCCAGACAGAGAACTTTCTTCTACCGCAGCGTGAAACAAAAGCTGTGCTTATTGATTCTTGATTAGGACTACAAATATGGGGTTTGCGCCCCTTGCACCCTCTGAGCAACTAAAAAGGCAATTCTGGGTGGATATTTGAGCTAGCTCCTGAACGAATTCATCAATTTTTTCAGGCATAGTGCTGTACGACTGAAAAACCGGTGTGGCTATCAGCAGAGAGAACTTTGATGGTTCAGTAGTGGGGAGTTGAGAGAATTCGGTCTCAGGACGCTCTGTTTTCTTGTAGGGAGAAATTGAGAAGTTAATGATGTGCTTGATATATCGGAGTGTGGGATTGGCGTTACTTGTACCCGAACTTTCAAACGAATTCTTCAGTATCTGCTAAGGCATAGTGCTGTTTTCTGTTACTGTTGGATACTGAAACCACTATGTCTATGTCAATCAGTTGTGGTTTCCCGATATCTTGAAGATTCAAATATGCAAGAGGAACGCCTGAATAGCATCCCATGAGGTGTTACGAGGAATAGTTTCAAGTAAACTTGCTTCACGCAGAGTTCACTTGATTGTAGCCCATTGAGTATTTGAAAGTGTAAGAATGCTCGGCTAAGGTACTCAGAGTGTAAGGTTATGCGCCACTTGCAACCTCTGGAGGGATTCGTTCGAAAATTCGGAGGAATCTCGTAGTTTTTTCGGTGCGATGCCGCATAATAGAGGATACAGCATGGCAATGAGTGAATGATACTGCAAGGATTCTTATACTGGAAAAGTAATGCGTCAAAAGCACTCTAAGGTGTGTATTCAATGTAGAGATGAATCGTTGCGAGTCAGCTCGTATCACGTCAACTTCTACTTTGCTGTAGCATAAAAATAATACAAAAAAAGTACATGCAGGTGTAAGGGAGCGAACTGAGGTTCAGAGTAAGGGGTTAGCGCCACTTGCACCCTCTAGGAGATAGACGCGGAACTTCCTGAACATATTTTCAGATTAATATCTCGATATTTTTCATAATATGGCGTATTTGAACTAGAAAACCAGCGTGTGGATGGGTAAATAACACTTCGAGGGCTCAAAATATGTGAGAATAATGCGTCAATAGGACACTATGGGGTAGGTGGAGGCCGTATCGAGATGAGTGATTGCGAATAAACTGGGCTGGCGTAGAATTTGCAATTGGTGGTGGGATGAATGTGATAACGACAGAGATTAGGTAGGGTGTGGGAGTGGTGTTTTGAGCCGAAAAAACCAAACAAGTTGGAAGCGTCCTCGTCGGCGGCCGGGCCGTCGAAACTAGGTTATGCTTGGGAGCTGGCTAGGTTGGCGGCGGGTGCGCTGGTGGCATGCGTTGCGTGCGGAGAGAAACAAGGTACTCACTTTCCCAATTCTTCTCGGAGGTCGTAATTATCACTAAAGCGGGTGCATGCTGCAGGCGCAGCCATCGCGAAGCCGAAGTCACGGGCACGGGCACCGAAGAGCACACCGACGAGACACAGCACAGCGCGGCGCGGCACGGACTGGGCACGACTGACGGCCGGGGCCGGGATCAATACGGACGGCGGCGACGCTGGCGCCCCCCGCGGCCCCGGCCCCCAACCCGAGAGATCGACCCGCTCGCGGTCGAACGTCCCCGCTCGCTCGCTCGCTCGCGCGCTCCCGCTCCGGTCGGCTATCGATCTCGCTCCCGCACCGGCCCGCTCCCAGCGTGAAGCGACTAAGGTTGGGAACGCGCATCGCGCACGCGGTCCCGCAAAGCGAGATGAGGCCGCCTTCGCGCTGCGCTCAAGCGCCGAGAGAGCGCGTCACCGGTCATCAAGTCTCACCTGCGTACAGGTGTCTCCAACACTGGAAAAAAACACATTGGATCTGGAGTCCGGACTCTTGAAAACATACACNGCGCTGGTGGCATGCGTTGCGTGCGGAGAGAAACAATGTACTCACTTTCCCAATTCTTCTCGGAGGTCGTAATTATCACTAAAGCGGGTGCATGCTGCAGGCGCAGCCATCGCGAAGCCGAAGTCACGGGCACGGGCACCGAAGAGCACACCGACGAGACACAGCACAGCGCGGCGCGGCACGGACTGGGCACGACTGACGGCCGGGGCCGGGATCAATACGGACGGCGGCGACGCTGGCGCCCCCCGCGGCCCCGGCCCCCAACCCGAGAGATCGACCCGCTCGCGGTCGAACGTCCCCGCTCGCTCGCTCGCGCGCTCCCGCTCCGGTCGGCTATCGATCTCGCTCCCGCACCGGCCCGCTCCCAGCGTGAAGCGACTGAGGTTGGGAACGCGCATCGCGCACGCGGTCCCGCAAAGCGAGATGAGGCCGCCTTCACGCTGCGTTTCAGCGCCGAGAGAGCGCGTCACCGGTCATCAAGTCTCACCTGCGTACAGGTGTCTCCAACACTGGAAAAAAAACACATTGGATCTAGAGTCCAGACTCTTGAAAACATCGACAAGAAAAAATACTCTTGATTCAATCAGATTTAAGCTTAAATCAAGAACCATGCATCTTAATTTGAGCGGATTTCCTTTTGATTTGAGCTTAAATCTGATTGAATCAAGAGTCCTTTTTCTTGGCAATGTTTTCAAGAGAATGGACTCTAGATCCAATGTGTTTTTTCCCCAGGGAATCCTACGAGAAGAAGTCTCCCTTGAAACTTCGCGATATGTATCAATTGCTTCTAAAAATTTCATAAATAAGAGCCCGAAATTTCAATTTTTCAATGTATGTATAACTGACGTACCACGAGAAAATTTCAATAAAGCTGTATTTTTACTCCTCATGACATTTTCGGTCTCAGGTAGGTACTACATATTGAAATTGGCACTGTAAAAATTGGAGGCGTCGCTGCTTTACAAAGACTAGACTGAGTTGACTGTAGCGCCTTGATGCAACTATTCGTGTTCCACGGATGTATGTGTGTTGCTTATTCAAATATTGAAGGCACTTTCGCTTTCCTCTTTTCGGCAGACATGCACGGGACTCTTCGGCACTCTAATAACACAGTGCTATGTAGAGAGTGGCACGAGTTAGCGAGATGAGGCTAGAGAATCTAAGGCCACTTATTGAATCGGTCATTCGTAAAGAGACTTAAGCGGCAGAGATGAAAACACGAGAAAAACCATTAGAAACTGTCTGAATCATATAGTTATGAATTGTAGATTACAAAATAATGTGATTGTGTGATTAAATCGCCGCTTTAATGTTTTAAAGCTCTGAAATTCAGGACGGGTCGATTAAGACTTTTGACTGTTCTTCTCGTAATACAATTTCTGACGCTTAGCTCAAGTCTATTTTAGAATGACCTGTTGAAATTGGTGATTGGCTGCATTTACGAATACAACACCGATTGTGAGTTGGTTGTGGCGCCTTGATGCAACTATTCGTGTTCCACGGATATGCGTGTTGCATGTTCAAAATTGAGGGCACTCTCGCTTTTCTCGCTTCAGCAATGCTTGGGAGTTGTCATCAGTTGTAAAACCCGAATAACAGAGTACCTACCTAAATAGAGAAACTAAATCTCAATCATTTTACTACTTTAAAAAAAGTGCCGCTCTCTAAGTGGTCGACGAACGACGAATTTCAGGCTTTTCTAGGTTTTCTGCTGCCGAACTTTTGGAACAATATCTTAACACAATTTGAAGGATATTTTCGCCGAGAATCGTCTTTTTTCTGTGTTAGTTCCATATTGATCTCTCCTTTGATAAAACAGCAGATATCCATTGATCGGCTGTATTTACTCAAATATCGGTTTTTTCTTTTAAAAAAAAAATTGCTTAGTCCATGAACTGTGCCATCATACCAACGCGCAATGGTGCTTAACATGTACACTGATTCCATTTTCTCAATTTTCCGTCCTTGTCTGGAACTCTGGACCCTTGCACGTCTCTGAGATTAGGGCCGGATTACCTACTTGCCGCTCATGGGCCGCCTGTATTTTGCCGCCCCCTTCTCATTCGTTTTGTAACATCAATAAAAACCATCAAGTCAACGTGCCGGAGAGGAAGGGATGCATACGACGCGTTAACTCGTGAAGGACACATTTTCTGAGAAAGCCCTGTCAACACTATTAGCAAAAGTTCACGGAAATTTTGCGCGAAAGTTAAGTTCCGTAAACCTATCTCTGAGTGGTCAAGGCCTTCCATTTGTACGAAATGAACGAAAAAATTATGGAAGAACAAACATAAATGTGGTTTAATGATTTTAACTTCCTCCGCCGCGACGCGCAGACCGCACTGAGTTTGACGCAATGCGTGAAGTATTCATGCAGTCTTGTAGACGCTATGCGCTTCATGCCGACCGCTGCTGACCGCACTGCGTTGAACGCAATGCGTGAAGTATTCATGCAGTCTTGTAGGCGCTATGCCGCCTGGAGGCTATGCTATGGAGTTTCATGCCGACCGCCGCGCCGCGCCGCGCCGTTCAAGTTTAAATTGCGTGTTTGGTTTCTCTCTTAACTCGACTAATTAAAGGTATGAAGGTGTTGTCTCTTATATCACCGAAAAGACAACAAAATTAGAACTTACTATACTTATACTTTCAGGTAATGAGAGATTTTGTCGCCTTTTCTCGTTTGTAATTTTTTTTTTTTTTTTGGAGCTTTACAATTTTGGAAAAATATTCTCCAAGATTTAAGAAATTACAGCCGAATCCAGGCTGTTCTTCACAAAAAGACCCTCAAGAGAGAGCCTCCTTGGACCTGCCTCTTCATTTGAGTTTGATTGCATTATTTCTACTCATTTAGCAGCCTGCAGTGTCTATTAAAAAATTTCAATACATGCACTTACTGAATTTCAACGAAATTTCATTCTATATTTGATAAGACTTTACATCTCTACATGAAATAAGTTATTCACTAATAGTTTGAATGATATGTTGCTCCCTATGGAAATCCTTTCTCCTGCAAAAAACGACAGTTACAAGAGTGAGCCATTCAAAACCATGAAAGAAAAAAATCCATTTTTTTAAAAAAAAGATGTAATTTATTAAAAAACTATATTGCACATACATTTATAGATAGAATATGTTCGTTTTTTGTCATGAAATTGGGACCGAATAAATCTGGCATCAGATAAGTGTCAAATTTGTTTGATGTTCGAGAAATTAACAAACAAAACACATTTGTAAAACAAGAAATGAGACATTTTCTGTGATTTTCAAGAGAGCAAGAGAGAAGATATCTATGCTATAAAGAACTGTGTGCAGAATAGTTTCTTTTAGCATAAATACGTCCAATTAACTTCAAAAAGATTGACTGAAGAACTAGAATAATACTGAGCTTTTAAATTCAAAATTTTTTTGGGTAATTTTCTTCCTTACTTTCGATATACGTAAATGCAAAAAGTGCACTTTCTAGTGCAAGTTGATGCCCTACTTAAAATTTGGTAAATTTCAGACAAAAAGGGTTTAAATTAGGGTGAAAAACTAACCTTGCCCATTTTATGGTGTATTATTGGATAGAATTCCATTTGAAAAGAACATCTAGGATGAAGCTACTTTCAAAGAGACTCATACCTTTGGTGTGCACAATTTGAATTGTCACAAAGAAAAACATTCTAGTGTTAGAATCTGATTTTTTCCTTCAAGGGCAAGTTTTCGCACTCCTTGTAAAATTTTAAAATTCAATACAACATAAAAAACGAGTCATAAAGTCAAAAATATTTGAAGAAGAATGTGTACACACATAAGTTTTTTGTTTTTTTTTTTTTTTTACTTCAGGACAGAGTTTGTTGAAATGTTAAAATGAAAAGTTTATGAAAAATCTGACGGAGTAATTTGTAAGTCAGTTAATTGGATTTTAACTGTTACATTTAAATTAACATATCACATAAGAGGCAATTCAACAATTCAAATTAATGTTTACAAAAATGACTCCTGATACTTCAAGAGAGGTAGAGCCCGTTTTGGATTACTTTCCCCTATCCTGCACATACAGCAAAAGAGGAAAAGTAATCTAAAACAGGCTCTATGAGGTTAAAAATATTGCTGCAGACTTGAAGTCATTTTACTTTGATCGAATAAATTGAGGAACAACAATGAGTCTAAAAGATAATTTGAATTTTAAATTGACGATCAATACATCTCCTCATCCTGAGAATTCAGTTCAGGAGAACAAAGTAGATAGGAACAAAAAGTCAGATGCATGTTGAACATTCAAACTTAGAGCAAAACAGACGGGTGATGAGACATACTTCGATTCATCTCATTTCCGGCTTGATATGAGAGTTTCCACTTGAAAAAGGACCTTTGAGTGTGAAGGCAAATTATTCAGGGAAAGAATTATTGTCAAGTTCGATCGAAAAATCCAAATTTGAGTTTTCAGTGAGGAAAACTCTACGGTGTTTACTAAAGTGTATAAGAATATTAGTTGTGGGGTTCATTTTTGCCCCGATAGGACGCACAAAGGGGTATTTTAATCTGACGATTTGGAGTCTAACCTGTCACGCTGCCTTTCCAGAAAATTTGAGTTTTATCAAAGGAAAGACAATGCTGAATTCTCATGAGGTGTTCTTCCTTAGTACAGTTATAAAAATGGTAGATCCAAACATTCAATAGCTCCCTTTCTGCACTAGGTTTTTAAACAGCTTTAACCTTTTTAAATTTTTTTTTAACCTTCATAAATTTAGATTGGCTCAATACATTGGGATACTTTTCATCACAAAATGTGGAAAATTTTTTTAAAGAAGAGTACCAAGAATTAAATTCCAATTTCTGTTTCACAGATATTTGAAAAAGATCAATCTAGGAAATTCTTGTCTTAAAACGTTGAAGTAAAAATAGTATTGTTATCAGACTCTCTGAATGGTGTGAAGTTTTGAAGATTTGTAGAAATTTAACATTGGTCCTATAATATCAGGCTACACCAATGGTGTTGAAGGTATTCTACTCGACAGTGACGGATTTGGCAAGGTTTCTTGGGTGATCGATATTGCAGCCTCGGAGCATGGCCAAATGATAGGACAACAGTTGCATTGGGATGACAGTCAAGATACCCTGAAAAAAATTAAAATCATTGAACTCATTAGCGAAGATACTTGCTAACAGATAAATGTGTGTGCAATGCGGTGGTTGCAGGTCCTAAATTATTGCTTTGAATATGAATTAACAGACCATCAAGCTTCATTTACATTCATTATTGAGAGTGACCATGAATTGCTGTGAGTCTTTCCAATTTTTTTTATTTACTCGTCTAATTCTGGTAGCAATAATAACCAATTTAGACTTACTAAAGCTACTGAAATGTACAAATTAAGAGCATTTTTTTAGATTCTTTACAAGGTGTGTACATAAAATTACGTAAAAAAGCATGAAAAAACACCAAAATTTTGTTTAATCCTAAAAATAATTTATATTGATGCGAAACGTGAAGGAAGATACAATACATTTAACAAATAACACTCAAAATCTACTTGACATTATGACTAAGATTCACCACAAGGAAGTGATAAAAGACTTCAGCAACTTCAAAGGGGCATTGTAATAAGTAAAAAAAAAATAATTAAAAAAGTCCGTACTTGAACAGTTTTTAGAGTTTTTCACTTTAAATATTACAAATTTTTAGTTTTCCTTCTCATTTTCTGACACTCAATGCGATTAGTGGATAGTTTCCTTGTTACTTCCTACTAAAGGTAATAATTTATTGTTGAGAGAATCAACTGCTTGTGAACACTGATAGAGACTAGGTCTTAGAATTCAAGTTTATCTTCCAAAAAGCCTTGGAGCTTTAACAAAAAACAAGAAGAAATATCCAACATGAATATGTTGGAAAAGCGTCCCGAATAACCGAAATATTGGACACATACCTACTATTTTCACGTCTTAGCTATTTGTATCAATTGGTACTTTCTACTGAATTTGGGAGAAAATATTGATTTGTGAACGTTGAATGTAAATTAATTTTAAAGATTCCATCCAATTATCTTGATTTTAAGCTAATATGCGGCATTTACGCACGACCGCAATTTGGGCGAACTTCCATGCATCCAAATTGCGTTAGGTTAATCTCTTTGGATTTTCAACTGTAACTTCTCTCCTATTAGGCCGATTTTTACAGATGACGTCTCTTTTTATTTGTATTTTAACGGAGAATAAGGAAACACTCGCTAAGTAGATGGAAAAAATTTTTGTGAAAATTTAATGGATCCTAGGTGAATGGTTAGTCGGGCGGTAAAGATAAGGTTCGACAGCGAGGTGACCCTCACCTTGCCGTCTTTTATTGCCTTGCTCAAAACCGGACACCCAAAGCAATATCGGGAGATAACTACAGTGGCCACAGTTTGCACATGGTACAATGAGTCACGAGGCTCATCACAGATTGAACTTACAGCGCAAGACGCTCATTGGCTAAAAAGTTTTGGCAGGAAAGAAGCTTCTAGAGTTGAGTCCTCCGAGCTTAGAAAAGCTTATATAAGGTTTCTGTCAAATGAAATAATACCGTTTTGACAGGAAAATGTTTTCAAGGGTTTCCAATTAGCAGTTCATTCCGTTTTCACGGTAAAAGACTATCAGGGCTTGACAGTATAACGGCTCAAAGACAAAAAGACAGTTCCAAGGAGAAAAATATTTGGACGGCCCGTTGAACAGCATTGGTTGATGGGTGTGCTGTACTATGGTACATCCGAGTGATTTCAAAAAGTGAGCCCTACTGGCAAATTTAAAAATACAGGGGAATAATTGAGTGACCAGACATATTTGGCACCGCTGCAAATGATGACAGTAACATTGAAAAAATAACAAACCTGAAGACAGTCAACTGTGTGTGGGACTTCGATGTATTCCCAAGCCATGCTTTGCGTTTCAGTGTCACCCTTCTCACAAATTATGATTGGCTTTCCCTGGCGGGCACAGACTTGCTCGATAGCATTCATGCATTTCTGAAATTTAGACGCAAATTCATTTCATATACATTCAGAATAAAAAACAAACTTTTCAAAAATGTTTGAATGTTAAAAATAATGAGTCACTATTTAAAACAAGAATAAAAAAGCATTAAAGAATCAAAACGGTAAGGTGAAACATTATCTATTTATTTATTTACTCATTTTTTTTTACAACTACGCCCCCTGAAATTCCTCCAAAAATGTGCTTGATTTTATTTTGAGCCTTGTCTCCTTAGTCAATTTAGAGGCTACAAACTTCATTATTTTCTTGATCTGCACGCTAATATCATCTTTTCATAGCACGTCAGAGTAAATTTCCTAAAATTTCCCAATTTTTTACGACTAAACCTCACATTTGTACATTCACTTTAAGTATGCACTTGGCATCTATTTTTTTCAGATAAAAATTCAACATTATAATTCTTGATGATGGCCTATTTAGGATCCACCTTATGAGATAACTCTAAAAAATGTCTACGCTATCATAAACCTTTATCAAGTGACCAACTGACTTTAGTGAAACTTCAAAAAAGTTTTAGCCTGACACTTAATTTTCTTGAGCTAATATCTCGTGTTCATGACATTTCGCCCTAAACAGGACAGCATGAAGACGTGAAGCTTCTGATTATTTTGGTCTTAAAATGAACTTTGAGGTTGCTCTCTTTGATCATATGAGGTTATAAGAATACTTACGGTAAAGATAGGATCTCTCGTGACGACCATTATGATTGGCATGGAGTCATCAATCAATGCTAGGGGTCCATGCTTTAATTCTCCTGCTAGAATGGCTTCACTGTGCATGTAGGTTAATTCTTTCACTTTCTGTGATTGCATAAAACAAAAAAACTTAGTTAGAATTCATTTATGTTCTTTTGGCAATTGAGTAATTTTTCAGAAAAATGTCTTATGGTGAGGAATTTAGTTTTGAGGAAAATTCAGTTCCTCCAGCTGCTGACTTTATACCACCATAACTGTAGTTGGTTTGATATTTCATTTTCATCTCAAATAAAAATATTCTTTAAACTCTCATTAGAGCAAAACTGATGACTTAATTTTTAGTTCTTATAGTAATAAGATTCCTATTCTTAAGAATAGTAATATGTATTTTTTAAAAGTAGCTTCATCAGTTGAATGACCAGTTTCAAAAATAGCTCAAATCAGGATTCCTTTACATTAATTTTTTTTTTCAAGAATACATTCTTTGGATCTTTGATTTAGCTTTATTTTGGCTGCCAAATTCCTTGTTTCCGACCGCCACTTGGGCTTTATCACCAGACCAATTATTTTTTGCAGATGAGTATGCTTTGAGAATCGCTGACTTAATTTTTTCCATTCCTTCCGAAATGTTTGAATCTAAGTGAGAAACTTTTAGAAACAAGACAATCCATTAAAGAGAAACATAAGGCATACTTTTATAAAATTAGTTGACATAATCTGATATCCACAAAGTATGCATCTATTAATTCTTCATTTAGACTTACAAGCCTTTCTTCCATTTATATTATCATATAAAAAAGTGTAACCTTGATTGTAAAAAATTGTAAGCCTTTGATTTAACTTAAAATTGAAANTTGCCCCCCGCCCCCCCTCCCCCTGGGGGGGTGAAGAACTGAAAAGTACCTCAAAAAGTTTCCCCCTCGACATGAGGAAGGACGCCACAAACCGCAAATCGATATCATAATTAGAACTAAAGTTATGGCCAGTGGTGCGTAACTTTTGAATAACCCTGTATAAAAAAGTGTAACCTTGATTGTAAAAAATTGTAAGCCTTTGATTTAACTTAAAATTGAAAGAAATTCAGAACATTTGGGGGCAAAATAACGGTGACAATACAATTCTAATTTTAAAAGAAACATAAGCGTGTTTAGCTATTAGAAGTGTACAACTTCTGGCACAGTATTATTAGGACCACTTAACTTTTGTACCAGAAAATGAAATTTTGGTGCCTAAAAATAAAACCCAACGGTCAAATTTAGTGGTTTAAACTTAACACACGATCAATTGTTAAAGGTGGAATGTTATTACTCTTGCCTCTTGTTATAAAGTATCAATCACTTGGCAATTACACTCATGAAAAATTAACATTGAGAACAGAAAAGTGAATTTGCTGACCATTCATTCCAGGAAATGCACTAGATATTATTCCTCGAAGATTTTAATAATGCGAGGCAGAAAAACTTGAAAAAATACAAACTTACCAATGCTCCTTCTAAACAAGTAGAGAAATTGTAGCCTCTACCCATGAGGAGTAGGGATTTCTGTTCATAAAGCGATTCGGCAAGTGTTTTGACTTTGTTGTCCAGTGCTAACACTTCTCTGATCTGTTCATCTAAATGTTCTAGTCCAGAGATAATCTACAAATTAGAGAAAAATAATTCTATGAAGAAAATAATTTGAATATGTACTCAGGACAAATGAAGACTTCTTTCAACCTTTTAATTTACTCTTTGGTTTACTCCAGAAAACTGCCAAACATTGGCAGATCCAGCAAATTGGCAACATTGTTTTTCTCCATTTAAACCTGTGGATATGTATGGATTCTTGGAGGGGCCAGGTGCTCCCTCAAGAATCGATTATTTAGCATAGGTTTAAATGGAGGAAATCCGATTTTGTCAAATCGCTGAATCCACCTCAGCTGTCAAATCTGGAATTTTGCATTATTCTCTTCAGTAAATAACTCTTCTTCGTGATTCTTTTCAAAATATTAAAAATTCGGAAGAAATTTTTACATTCCTTTTGGGTGCTTCTGGGTACCAGATGCGCCCTTTCCAGCCGTTCGGGTCTCCGGATGTAACATGTACTATAGTACATAATCTTTTGCCTTGTGGGTAATGATGCCATTCTGGTACACGCTGTAAAATTTGGATTTTGTTCTTCTCTGGTACTTGTAAAAATTTTTGTGAAATGTTTTGCTTTTAACCTAAGATCCGTGCACTGACGTATTACCTAGTTAAATTATTTTAGGGTCTCGTTATGCTTAAATGCTTATATCCGAGGCAGTACTTTCAGATTGAACTTGAAAAAATTAAGAACAGTCACGTGACCTCTTCATTTTAGTGACGTATTACTGTGCTATTTTGTGATTGGTTCATTTTCTTGGCGCAGCATCGTCAAACGTCAGCTGTTTGCTGCTTTGGGCTGAAGGTTTAAGGTTAAGTCAGAGAGTATAGAAGGTTAGAGGCCTGACTTGATGCTAGGTAATTGAAACAGAGGCGCTCGCAGTACGCTCTCTGGCATCGTACGCAACTACTATTTTCTATTGTTTTCCAGTGACTAGTGGCGGCGGCATATTGCTGCCGGACCACCTCCACGTAGGCAATTTTTTACACTTCGTCCGTCCGCAACTCTCGCTTGGCCGCGTCAGCTGTTTTATAGTTTTGTTTTTCCAGTTCCCTTTTTGGATCTCTTTTTTTAGTTCAGCTCTGTCTGCAACCTCGTAAGATATAGGTGTATGAAAACGTCCCTTGCAGTGTTAAAGAAGCGCCCTCGAACGCTTTGGCGTTGGAATTGCTTGTTTTAAATTGAATAGATTTTAAAAGTCGAAAGATTGTGTAGCCTCACTTTTATGACCATTTTATCCAATAAAATTGAAAATTCCATGTTTCAAGATTCGAGTTCCGATCAAAAATCAAAATGGATAATAGCACTCAAATATTCTAGATTTTAAAATATTACTCCTTTTTTCACCCATTGAAAAGTCCAAAATTAGAAAAAACGTTGAACTTACCTCTTCTCGCCTTTTTTGCATTGAGATCCGGTCGTCAGACATGACAAGAGCAAACATAACCAATGAGATGAACTGGGAAGTATAAGCTTTTGTGGAAGCAACACCGATCTCTGGGCCAGCGTTGATGTGGATTCCACAATGTGACTCACGACAGATTGATGACCCGACTGTGTTTGTCACACCTACAATTAGGGCCCCTCGCTGCTTACAGTAACGCAGTGCCATTAGAGAATCGGCAGTTTCACCTGAAAAATTTGAAAGTTAGGTAAATACATTATAACTTGTTTGATGGGAAAATAATTAGAAAAAAGGACATTTTAAAGACGGCAAAAATTTCTTTTCCTGATTTTAGGATCACTTTTAAAGTTACTGATCCGTGCATGTTTCAGCTGAAATAATTAATATGTCAATGGATTAAAAGTTGAAGGATATTCCAAGACCATACAAAGCTGTTTTAACCCTCAGCAGTCGAATTTTTTTTAGAAAATTTAAAAAATTCCAGAATATTGAACTTTTTTAGAAGATTTTCGCGTGCTAATTAAGTGAAAAATGAGTAAAAAGAATGTTGAAATACCAGATTGTGAGATGAAGAAACAGACATCGTCTCTGAAGACGGGAGTATTTCTGTCTAGAAAATCGGAGGCTGGTTCGACCATGACTGGCAATTCCGTTAATTCCTCCAGCAACTGTCTGCATGCTACAGCACTGTGATACGATGTACCGCAACCAATGAGCATCAGCCTGCGGCATCGTCTAATTTCAGGAATGTATTCCTGAGTACAAAATAGACAATTATAGGTACCATTGTTGAATTATAAGTTCACAAGGACTCTGCCTTTCATAAAGGTATTGGTTACAGTCCATAGGAAAAGAGACTTTAGTTCGGATCAGCAAATTTTTTTGAAGCCACATTGAAAATTGGGAATAGAGTATTCAACAGAACATACAAAGTATCATTTCTCAATTTGCGGTATTTTTTAATGAAATTTTATTATGTGTGGAATAAATTGACATGAATTTGCCTGATTTTTGTTATACTTGTGAAAAAAGACTAAAACTACCAAATGGAAAAAACTGGACAACCTTGATTCAGATGATGTCTGAAACTTTTGAAATTAGTCAAGAGAGTAGACATTTTTCGTAAAGAAGATGTTGAGTTAAAAATCTTGCGTCTTTCATAAAAAGCGATGAAAATACTTCCTCTATACACAAGAGAAGCGAGAAAGTAAAGGAGAAAAAAAAGTAATCAGTGTAGTAAATTCGAAAGCAAGGTCTGCGACACTTACCTTAATTCCACCCAATACAACTATTTTGTCTCTAAAATTAAGTCTTCCTCTCATTGTGTTCACAACAGATTCTGGCTGTTCAAAGATTTCTTTTTGCATGAATGAACTGTAGTTACCTACGGCATGGGGGAAAAACAAAGTTACATTAAAGTTAAATGTTGATATTTTCCGATTGCTGATAAATGATGGAGTCCTCTGTTGGTGTTAACTGAGGATGTTCAATATTCATGTTATTTAATGATGATTAGAGTATATTCTCTTAGGGCTGAGAAGTAAGACATACAGACTCAACGCTTCCTACAGAAGAACTTAAGTTGAGCCATTCTTAAGGGTTATATCCTTTCAGTGTCATAAAATAGTGACTTGTACTACATTTTATATTATTGGACTCCAATGTAGGTACCTTTAAAGTAAATAAATATTAAAGACAGAGTAGATAATTGATGGAAAATTGTGTCTTAAATAAACCTTGTGATGGACGTTGTTCAGCTTCCATACAAAATTGATTGCCCAAAATTTGTTTTTCACTCGTAATTCATTGTATGCATCAGAGAAATCTGAAATCTAGCAATATTTCTGTGTAACCCTACATTAAGAGCTTGCCGCGATTTTTTCATGTGAATAGAGCAGCTCATGAAAATCTTAAAAATCATACAGGGTGAGTGAAAAGTCCCCGACCCCCCCTCTAACTTTTGAACGAATTGCGCTCGGGAAATGAAACTTTGGGAATGTTCCTATCTCAAAGAGGACCATCTTTTGGGGGGGGGGGGGGCAAAATTTTGGTCCCCCCCTCAGCGGGAGACGGGGGCCCCCCAACTTTTTTTTTTTTCAAATGGCAACCCCTATCTTGTGATACCTCATTCGAAAGAGCATAAAAAACTAAGAATTTTGGCGCAAACCGCAGATCAATATCTTAATTTTGACCGAGTTATGATAGGTCAAAGGTCAAATTTGACCTATTTTCAAAAAATCATAACTCCGGTTCAAATTATCGTAAAGAAAAAAATAAAACGGAAAAATTTACCAAATTGTGTCCGCTTTTAAGTAAAAATTGCAAAAATCACTTCGATTTAATTTTAAGGGGGAGATCGGACCCCCAAATACGTCAATTCAAAGGTCATTCAATTTTCCCGCGAAATAAGCCAATTCCCCCTGGATTTGCCTCCACATTATCTCAGTAAGGTCAAAATCAGTTCAAAATTACGTTGGCAAGTCCCCAAAGTTCGGGAAAAGTNCAACTATTTTGTCTCTAAAATTAAGTCTTCCTCTCATTGTGTTCACAACAGATTCTGGCTGTTCAAAGATTTCTTTTTGCATGAATGAACTGTAGTTACCTACGGCATGGGGGAAAAACAAAGTTACATTAAAGTTAAATGTTGATATTTTTCGATTGCTGATAAATGATGGAGTCCTCTGTTGGTGTTAACTGAGGATGTTCAATATTCATGTTATTTAATGATGATTAGAGTATATTCTCTTAGGGCTGAGAAGTAAGACATACAGACTCAACGCTTCCTACAGAAGAACTTAAGTTGAGCCATTCTTAAGGGTTATATCCTTTCAGTGTCATAAAATAGTGACTTGTACTACATTTTATATTATTGGACTCCAATGTAGGTACCTTTAAAGTAAATAAATATTAAAGACAGAGTAGATAATTGATGGAAAATTATGTCTTAAATAAACCTTGTGATGAACGTTGTTCAGCTTCCATACAAAGTTGATTGCCCAAAATTTGTTTTTCACTCGTAATTCATTGTATGCATCAGAGAAATCTGAAATCTAGCGATATTTCTGTGTAACCCTACATTAAGAGCTTAAAATCCAAAACTCTCTAAAATTTAATGAGTTAGACTACTTGAGATTTCAAGCCGCGATTTTTACATGTGAATAGAGCAGCTCATGAAAATCTTAAAAATCATATGATACAAAGAAGAGCGCACTTGATGCACAACAAACTCACCTTTCATGATTTGTTGAATTTCCATCTTAATTGTGGTAATTTCTCTTGTAAGTGAGTCATCCACTGATCGTCGCAACCGGTGAATGACAAGAAGACCTTCTTTCACAGCTGCTACATCATCATCCTGCGATGAAAAAAAAGAACATACATTTTTTAGGAGGAAAAACTCATTCTATCTTATAAATTCTTACAAAAAAATTGAAAAATTCGCTTTTACCTGTAAGCATCAAAACAAAGTATCAAGCCATAATTTGATTTGTAAATAATTTGATAATAATATTTCATAATTTGATATAAATGTTAAGGGAGAATTCTTTTGAAGAGTGACAACAGCCAGTACTTGTAAACTTAAAAGCAGTTTTCTCGAATTCCCTAGTATTCGTACTCAACCTGTAAAATGCTGTTTAAGGGTCAGTTTTTTAAAATAATTTTAGATGATTTTTACCCTAGATGATGCAGAACTAACCCCTCTCAGCTATTGTATAATTGGACTGTGTTAAGCAGAAATGAACCACGTCACATCAGCCATTGCCGATTTTCATTGAACAATTTCTTTTTTTACAAGAGAAAGGTTGTACAGATTCTTAATCTAAAAATTTAAGGGAATTTGCTTCACATCACGGAGGAAATCCCCTATGATTTTAAAAAAAATCTGCACTGCCGTTTTCCGGTAAAATAATATAGTACTGAATTAAATTTGATGATGACTGATAGGCGCATATTTCCTTTTTGCTTAATGCGATCAAATTATCTCATGTTTTTCTTTCTAACCTAAAGGTACACTCTGCCTGATTTCTTTAAATGTTTAAGCTTAAAAATATGAGGTGGTGCTTTTCATTTTGCAGTATTGGTATACTGTTGATATGCCTAAAAAATTTGAAAGATTGCATGCAGCGAAACTATAACTATCTGTTCGTTTCTTTAGTTGCCAAATGACAGTGTGAATTGAAAGTAGAAGCACAAAACCAGAGGGTATCTAATACACTTCAGCCAACTGAAAGTCAAAAAAATTCTTTTTCACATTTTTAACCAACAATTCCTACATATTGATGGTGAAAGTGCCAAAAGACACATCTTGGTTTGTGAAACTCCAAATCTCCAGTTAAATTTTACTTTGCAAAAGAAGGCCTGAACATCAGTTTTGCACATAAGTTTATTTGACATTCCTTAGCTTTTTAAAAAATATTCTCTGAAAATTTAGTGACTAAGTCTAGCAATAATCTCTTGAAAATATAAGATATGTCAAGAAATTTCCAAACATTGCCATCAAGATCGGTGGTATAATGGTTTCACCATTGATGTTCTTTTAGGATAAAAGCTCATTGTTGGTAAATCTGCATCAGAAATAAATAAATTACCTGGCTGAGAAAGATATTTTTGCACTGTTAGAGTAGACTCACCTCAAGGAAGATGACTCTGTTTGTATGTTCGATCACAGCACTAGCGTCTGAGGCAAAGAAGTATTCCACTTCTTTATCTTCATACGGCCTGAATTCAGCCGTTGATTCTGTTCTAGGGATGAGTGGAATGTCATTGCGTCCATGCGGTCTATGATCTGCATGAAAAGAACAAAGCACTTTAGTTGCGCTGTTAGAAAAAACGACGAATTTCATAAAGAGTCTTACCAATATCAACTCATCAAGCCGCAATGATGATGAAGGTGATACAACAATTGGTTAGCTTTGAAAAATAGAATTTTCAAAGGCATGATTCTACCTTAACATCTTTTGATATCATTTTTGGTCTCTCAATTTTTGGAAACCAGCAGAAAGAAATTTGGAACATGGGCCAGAATCAGAAGAGTTAAGAGCCATCGAGAAGCTTTCTTCCTTAATTTGAGATTGCTACTTTAAGCAGGGCGTATAGCATTTAGTTCATCAATAGTTCATTGAAATGGCATATGAGCCAATAGGGGACCAAAGGGTTACAGTTCATCATTTTTTAAGTATGAGATGGAAGAACGGACTTTAAAAATTTCAGTAGTGAAAAACTAAAAATTATGCTACAAATGTGGCAAATATCACAAAAAGCACAGACTGAGGATTTAAGATTTCAGAAATGGAAAAAAAACTAAAGGCAATCTACGGACTATTAAATGAGACATTTCATGAAAAAATGACTTGGAAAGTGAAGAGAAACAAGTTAGCTAAATAAATCAAGAATCAGAAATAGGAGTAAACATGTTCATTTGGAAGAATTTGGAAACATGTATCAGAATTTTGACGGGACAAGATAGTTTATTTTTAAAATACTATTGAAATAGGAATTTTATTCAATAGGTTTTTGAGTTTTCTGCAAAGAGTTGCTTTTACAGTGCAGAGATTAGAGAGAAATGATTGTGAATACTTGTGCAATAGAAAAAAGCGAGAACCCTTTACCATCAAACTACCACCAAAAATACACAGCATTAGGCTACATACCGGAGAGTATCAAGAAAGACAACAGATTACAAAGTGAGCGCAACATAAAAATGTATCCATTTTAAGAAAAAGACACGAGATCACACACCTTCTATTATGGCAATGGCTAGTACATCAAAAGATAGAGCTATTCACATTGAAATAACATGTATCAGCTGATTTCAGAGAAGAAGTACAAGAATATGATGTAGAGAATATGTATGAGAATTATACAATGCATGCATGTTCGTTCTTTGAAAAACTGTAGACATATCAATGAAATTTGAAAGAAGACGATGACACAAGAGGAATAAAGAGGATTGGACTTGGAAGAAAAAGTCAATCTGCAAAATCTTTTGATATCACTCATTTTCAGAAGTTATGACAGAGGGGTTTATAGACTTTACTTGATCCTACCATAAATTTAATTTATATGATAACATCTCAGTTACAAGCTAAAGAATTCGCAATAAAAAAATCTTTTGAAGAAGTTTCTCGACGACGCATTGATAAAAAGTGCTTGTGCTGTTTGTTCCATCAATCATCAATCATGTTTAAGTTTGTTGGTTCCTATCAAAGAGAGAACAAAATCTGTCGAAACATGAAGTTCATTCAAAGTAAGATTTAGGAAAAGAAGTTATCATGAAGGATTAATGAGAAAAAGGCATCGAAGATTACAAATACCTTGACCAGTTAAGAAACCAAAACCATTTGAATTTGGACAGGACCCGTGCAAAGCCATTGTTGAAGAGGAAACAAAGTAAAAGAAAAGGAAAAGTACCTGAGTGGCTGTGAGAATCTGCATCTTTTATTTCAGGTCAATTAGAGGGGAGAAACAGGAAAAACAAAACAAACAAAATGAGTAAGACGAATGCAAATAAAATGGGGCATAACAAGGCTAGGGATAAAACGGGCCATTCTTTAATGAAGATCAGAAAATCCGTCTAACAAGAAGGAGGACAATAAATTAAAAATAGAGAGTTTCAAGATCTTGGAGAAGGCTAGAGTTTCGAAAGACGTCGAAATCTTAATTTTCCCCTCAGTGTGTTCCATTCATTGCTCATGAGTAATTTAAAAAAATGCATGCTGATGCAATAAAATCAGTCACAGATAAAAAAGGATTATGGGCCAGTTAAAAATATCATTGGCTTGAAAAAATAATAATGAAATGAAAGTAAAAATTTAAAAGATAAGGTGTCTTTCTGAGGAATAAATCTGCAGCTCAGGGAACGAAAGAATAGGTACCAAAAATTTGGCTAGAAGAGACATGCCTGCTTTTAAATGGTCTTTCAAAATGCAAAATTGGGAATATATTCTTGCAGAAAATTTTTCATAACATTAAGGGGATTTGAAGACAGACTAGAATTTTGAATGGCCAGTTTTACTCATTAGCAGACGTTCACTAGACATTGCTCTGGTTCTTGAAAAGGAGTATTTTTCAAGGATTAAAAAAGTGTCGAGGTTATCAGAAATTATTTAGTGGGAAAGAGATAGAAGTATAAAGTCGTCTAATAAATTTTCCTAAAAAATTTTAAAGAGAAAATAGGAAGTTATTCTAAAAATTATTTTCAGATTGATGCGTTGCAGGGATTTCAAAATGTTCTGCCTGAATTTTTTGAGATAGTGTTAAATAACATCTCAAACACATATAGAATAATGGTTACTGTTGTGAAGTAAAGAATTATTTACTCAAAACACCAACAAGAGAGGATTCAATTCTCCCCATAATTATCAATTTTCTGAAAGATAATTTTATTCTATTTGCGATCACATACATACAAGTCGCTTTACAGCACTCCCTCGCGCTCTACGACTCCTAACCTCCACTGCTCTCTTTCAAACCACAAATCTTGGGGGATTGAGCACCTCAACATTTCTGCTTCAATCCCGTCCCTCCAACCTTTCATTGGGCGCCCTCTGCGTCTTCTCCCAGGAGGAACCCAGTCAAGGACCTTCTTCGGCAACCTGTCTCCTTTGCGATCACTCATACTCAAAAAAAGGTCTAATAGTTGCTTCTAGTTGGTAATTGGCGCACAGACATTGCTCAACTAGTAGATATACAAACAAGATAATTCTTTGGGAGTCATGCAAATAAAATCAGGTGACTTTTTCACTATAATATGGGGATTACACAACACACAGAGAAGCATTAACACAATCTTGAAACATATAGAGGATAGGTACAAGAAACACATAGATATTGAGCTATCCATCAAGATTTCTTTCTACAAAACATACATACACACACATCTACACAAACAGCTGAAAAACAATTTAAAAAACCTTGCTGAAAACAAAAACTTAAAAAAAGCAGTCAATATTTCAACAACCAAGCATAATATAAATACCTTTACTGTAAAGAATAGGAATGTGGTCTGTTGCTAAGTGCCTTTTGGTTTTGATGCCGACCAAGAGTGGACTACCCCGACGAGTTGCGACACATTCTCCTGGGTAATGTTTACTCTTGAAACAAAGAGCAAAAGCTCCTTCCTGGAAATTCAAGGGAAAATTTACAGTACATTCTGTTTAGCTCTAATGATGCGTAATTTTCAGTCCGTACAAACATGCAATACTAGTTCAAAAATATCAAAATTAACATTCGGTGGATGCAAATTTAGGAACTTGTAAAATAAACGATATTCAACACAATCAGAGTAAAACTAGAGTAAAAATAATTGAAAAACCGAGAGAAGAAAGAATTTTTGTGCTCAGGCTCATATCAAAATTATGAAAACTCCTGTTAACATTGTTGTTGAATTGCCATGCTTTGAAGCTGCCTCCTAGGCTATTAGTTTCCATCTACGGTGATAGTATAAGATGTAGATGTCTTATCTTATCATTCAAAGGATGTACTTAACAGATTGATCGATGGAAAGGGAGATTCTTCAGATGTGAATTTTTGCTACAAATGTTTGTCTTCTTAGTCCCAAAACTCTTAATGCAACAGTTTTCCTAAGCTCCAAAAACTCCGATGTTTAAATAAGATGTTTTCTTACTGCTACTACCTATTTCTTTGATAGGTACACTGGTATTGTCTTATCACTATTTATGTATGTCAAGTTATCTTTGGAACTAGGACTCAAAGGTATCATTGATTTTATCATCTTACATAGATCTTGATTGCCTGGATGGACATTTTTGTTGTTTAACAGTTCAAATGAACTGTTTGGCGACTAACCAAGAACCCATTGGGCAATTCTACTCAATCTTTGATCAAGAATGTAAGGTGATAACTGTATCATAATTCTCATGATACTTACAAGTTGCTGGACGACTTGTTCAACCAATTCTCTGAATGAGTAATTTGGATGTTGTTTGTACATATGGAACACTAATTTTGCAATGGCTTCTGTGTCTGTGTCACTTTCAAACTCGTAACCTTTGCTGATGAGGAAAGCTTTGATATCTTTGAAGTTGGTAATAATTCCATTGTGGATGACGCAGAATGCCTGGTCACTGTCCGATCGCTGTGGGTGAGCATTGACAGCACTGGGCACTCCATGGGTAGCCCAGCGTGTGTGGGCAATTCCAACATGATATTCTGTGGTTGCGTCTACATCTAAAACTTCTTCTTCTGCAAATAAGAAACAAAGAGTTTAAGTTTAAATAAACTGAGTAGGTCCTGCAAAATCTTTCGATATTTCTTGAGAAGGCAGTGATTTGGCCTATTTTCAACATCTATAGGCCACATGATTTTCTTCTAATCACTATGGGTGTGCGTTTACTTGTTCCTATATCTAGGAATCCAGAGTATCATCAACTTTATCACCTCACATAGATGTTAATTGCCGGAACAAACATTTTAGTTGTTCAAAGAGTTCAAGCAAGTAAAAATTGACCTCACTTGTAGTTTTAAAGGTTTCAAAGAGCAGAAAGAATACTGCATACTAAACACAATTTTTTAATTTGTGAACAATAATAGCCTTTGATGCATTTCTCCATAAAGTGATATTTTTGCATCTCTCATCCTAAACTTCATCCACTAGAGTGCCGACATGTGAGGCTACTTTAGTTTTGGCCATTTTATTCTCAAAGGAAACACTTTCTTATTTTTTGGAACGAAGGGCATTTCCTCTTAAATAGAGCAGAAAATTTATGTGAATGGAAAATATATAAGAGACGACAGCCAAATCATATTTTTCTTCTTTTTCTAACTTCTGACTAGGGCCATGACACTGTTTGCCTAGTCTCTAAATTAGTAAAATATGATGGCGGTGAGAGAGATCACTTAATACTCCGGGGATGAAAGGCAGCTCTGTGCCCATCTCTTGGTATTCGTTGGTCATGATTTCATCAGAACTTTATATTGCTTTGTTAAATGTTTGTGACTGCTTACTTGATTTGATTTCATCTTCTAGGGCTTGTACTTTGCCACTTTTCTTGATGATGGAGACATCCTTTCCATTTGGTGTGTCAATGGCCAGACCTGTGAATGCAAAATACACATAAATGTATTATTTTACAGAAGATAATTAAAAAATTACGCTTCCTCCATTAGAGCGCATTTAATATTGCTACATATTTGAAGAAAAAGCTGCACTTTTAATGATAGGAATACGTGAACTATTCTTGGCTTGAAGGCTAAGGTTAAAAGACAATATTCTATAATTAGATAAAATTGAAGTATTTCACTCTTAAAATTTAACATGTCCGTTCTTTTCATGTTTTTTGTGCAATCTACTTAGCAAAATATTGATTGATAGCGTTCATTCTAGTGTCATACACACAGTATTGGAGTGCTGAATTTCGTTTTCCCTCTTTTCAAAGGATAACAACTGATGAGTGATTATGAAATTACTCACCAGCTGAGTCATAGCCACGGTATTCAAGCCTCTTCAATCCATTCACAAGCAGTTCGAGAATCTCACGTCTAGTTTTGGGTGTCAAATAATTCAGGTAAGCAAAAATTCCTGTTAAAACACAAAACAAAGACGAAAAAATTAGTGGAATAAGTTTTTTAAATAGGTAAAATCATTTTTACATAAAATTAGAATTAATAGAAAGTAGCTTCGGAGGTTTTGGAAGCAGGAGTGAGCGTGCTAGGCCAGGATAACTCTCTAACGCTGATGCCCGGTGTATATTTTATTTTTTTAGAGGAAAACTAATGCATTTCGTTTTTCTTCAAAATAAAATGCAACAGCCATTAATAATCTGGCATGAGATCGAGGCATGTTCTCGTAGGATTTGCACGTTTTCATGAGACATTTCTGATAAACCTAACAAAAAACCATAAAATATCTCAGGAGGAACCCCTTAACTTTGAAAATATGCTGGCAAAACCCAGAGGTATAAGGGCACATTCCAAAAAGGATAATGTAAGTGTTATTTTAAACAATATTTTGAAAACATTAACAAAATCCTGTTACGCATACAACATTCCGAAAATTTTTTAACAGTATTACAGTTCTTTTTGGGCGAGAAAACCAATGCCCTAATTCAGGGTGTCTACTAAAATAGGCTGGCCAAAAATCAGTACTATTACGGTACTTTTTCAGGTCGTTCCCAAGAAATTCAGTACCGCCTCAACAGAAAAATTCAGTACTTTTTCGATACCATCAACTAACGAAATTCGAAAATTTTCAAAAATTTGAAATTCCCGCTCAAATTGCGACAAAAATGAAAAAAATTCCTGACTTCCTGGCAAAATTTCCGCACTTTTTCAGACCGCCGTTGAAAAATCGGTACTATTTCCGGACTTACCGGAAATTCCGGACTTGTTGACACCCTAATAAAGCACTTTTCAGTCTCACGGTGATAGTATTGCTCCAAATATTTTGAAATAAATTCGGTGGACTCAGTGGGCTATTGCCTCGAATATGCGAGAGAGCGTTGCGGCGCGTGGATCATGACGTTACGTGTGACGTCAGGCTAGCGCGTGAGCGTCAAACAATGGAAATGCCACTGGATGCAGGATTGCAGGATCAGTTTGCTTGCGATGCAAGTTAATTAAAATTGTTCCCCTCCCTCGCCCTCCTTCCCGCGACTACAAATTGCGTGGCGCGCGGCGCGGCGCGACGCACGGGTAGGTATTCGAAAGGATCAAGGCGGCACGGTATGACGTCACGTGCCACGCTCTGGATCAACGTCCCGACGCGATGTGACGCTGCGCCGACGCCCGGCTCCATTCAGATCAGTCTCCTTTCTCTTTGATTTTTTACTCTGTAAACTGGGCACGAAGATCTCTGGCATCAAAGCCGAGATGCAAAATTTCATCATCATATAAAATGATATTCCACGATGAAATTTTGGAAGGAAAAAAATCCCACGCACGATGGAATGATTTCGGAATTTTAGAAATCTTGCGATAAAAAAAAATTTCACCATAAAAAAGGCATACAATTCCTAGAGATGGATAGTAAAAACTCAATTTGAAATTTTGAAAAATACAAAACTTATTGAGTCACGATTTTGACTTGACGTCACAACCATGCTATGCTTATTTCTGTGATTTGGTCGGAATTGCGTAAATATTCTAACAGAGTCTTCTTTGATGTTCCTTCCACCACAGAGACGAGAATAATCGATATCCTTGAATTGAGCCAGGAATAAAGTCTAAGAGACAATCTGATGACGCTTATTAATCAATTTATTTTTAAGTCTAGGAGACAATCTGATGACTCTTAATCAATTTATTTTTAGATTTTTATAGGCGTCTTGGAACAGAATGAAAAGAGACAATGATAGTGGAAATTTATTCTCCTATCACAGGACGCGGTGGTTCGGCTGGCGGATTTTGGGGCGCGCCTACCATGTGAACCAGTCCAAGTTAAAAGCACACGAGTCCTTTTTCAGATAACCTTTAAGCTCCATTAGAATGCCTATATCTTATGGCTAATCAACTAATGGACAGGTTCGGTTGAAAATCCACCGATTCACGTGCTGAGAGACATCTTTGGTCACGACCACTCTCAGAATATTTAAATTCTACCTCCACAGAATGTATTTCGCAAACCTCTGCCTCTAATAGGCTTGTTTACCTTTCTTCGCTATGACTGCACTTAGGCCACGGCGAGTTTAAAAATAAATTTCTGATAAAATTGGAATACTTAATGAGGCCTCGAGGCCACCCCTTTCTTCAGCCTCGGTAAAACGAATTTTGACTGCAGGGAGACTCAGTGGGTTGGTTTTCCCAAAGATGTAATCCAGGAATTTAACTTTTTTTGAGGATTTTGAAGACTCGAATAATCACATTGCGAAGGCCTAAAAGTTCACCACGATGTAAGATACATATAACTCTCTACATTTTAACTGGAAGCTAGGAAAGTATTCTCAGTGGCGAGGCGTGATTCATTAATTGTCGATATTTTCCCACTTGAAACTAAGGTAAAAAATCGATTTGGAGGGTGTTGGTTGCGAAAGCCCTAAAAATCTATCAATTCCCACAGGATTAAGAGAGAAATCAATCGATTCATCGCCACTGGAGAAGGGTCGTCGATAATTCAAACTTGTATAGCTGACTGCAATGCTAGCTGCTCTCCTAGAGACGAGCTCATTGTCAGAGTTGATGAAGAAAAGACTTTCAGAGAAAATCGACTTTAACCTTAGCTGGCCACATGGCGTCTAATTGACCGAAATCATGTTCATTCCTGAGGGTCACTTTTCACACGGATATATTTCAATTTTTTTTACAATTTTGGCGTGATATTGACCCTCTAAACGCTTGAAGTAAGAATTAAATATAAAACAACATACGATGTAACACCTCATTTCCCTCTACATACTGTGTTCTTTCTTGGCGGGGCAGAATGAGAGGGCTGGAAAGGCAACGATGCGCCTCTTTGGATGGAGCTGGAATCGATAAAGCTTCCAGCATTTTTCCTGATTACTATCGAGTAGTCTAAGGAAAACGTGGAGAGGAGGAAAAAGGACAAACCCTACCTCCATCGGCGGGTTAGTAGAGGCTGAGAAGGTCCGGAAAAAGAGTGAAAAAAGGCAGATCTGAAGTAACTGGACTAATCATCGTCGATGTGATGATTCACAAGGTAGATGGGATTCAGTTCTGTGAAAACGAAGACGTTAGGATTGTAAGAGTGGTAATAGTCTTGACGTCAAAAATTTAGGATCAATATTATTCCGCGGCTGAGAAATTATCTTCAAGATAGCGTGTGCCGCGGTTGTTTGTAGCTAGACGTCGTGGGTAAGTTTCCACTTCGTAGCATGATTCGAAGAACTTTTTGAGGATGCCTCACGGAATTTGGCGACGGTGTCGCGCCGCGCCGATTGCCATGTAACTATAAATAGAAAAAGGAAAAAAGTGGTGCGGGGATTTGCGGTTTATAACTGATTCCAATGGCAAATTTTGCGAAAAGAACGATGGCACTATTGAAAATCTTGAAATCACCTCCCAATTTGGAAAAAAAAAATCTGTATTAGGAACCGATCCATTCATAACGGTCACTATTACGCGGGAACAGATTTGGTACACTCGTGACGTCACAGTGCATGACAAACCTGGTCTCTTCATCGTTTAAAATGCATTTCTCCATGAGGATTTGGCAGCCGTTTGATGAAGAGACCAGGTTTGTCATGTATTGTGACGTCACGAGTGTACCAGATCCGATCTCGCGCAAAAAAGACCGATTTGAAAATCCGAATTTTGAGGTGTATTTGAGTTGATTATTGGAGGTTTTCGGTTATCAAAAAACTCCGGGAAAATTCCTGTGACATCAGGATCCTTAATTCTTCCAATATAAGCAATTAAAACAAATTGTGCGACAGGTTATGATATCTGCCGTGCAACGCAAAAACGCCGTAAACGCCATTTTAAATTTTTTGGAAACAACGTATCATAGCCGAAAAACTTCTCTACCTTGGGACATGCAATATTTTTACAGAATTCTTTCACAAATACTATCAGGAACTTAACCTGAAATTTTTTTTTTTTTTTTTTTTTTTTTTTTTTTTTTTTTTTTTTTTTTTTTTTTTTTTTTTT